GACGCTGGCTCGCTAGCCTGGAGGTCGAGTGTTCGATCCCTGCATTGGCCGAGAAAGTTCATCCAGATTTTCTGGCGTGGTTTCCTCTTGTCAGTGATGCAGGACGGAGGGCCGGGTGGGACGAAAAACCGAGGTCCCGTGTACATATTGGCGTGCACGTAAAAGATCCCTTGGCAGTTGGAATTCGATATAAGAGTAGGCCTTAGCGCCGCTGCCCGGGCAAAATTTCCCTCATAGCACACTGTATGGCGTATGCTCGTCTTCATTAGCCCAGTTTAGTAGAACAGTAGGGCGTTAAACCCCATTTCATTTCATATCCGGGGGTCGTTCGGATCTCCAGTAGCCGTTATACTAACGGGGTCATCGCTGGTAATTTTGTCTAACAGTAAATTATACTGGACTTATATCGTGATAAAAGCGGTCTTTTTCCTATCTTCTTCCTTAAGGGGAATTTGCCAATACGCAGAATTTGCATCTAATTTCGAGAACCATTTATTTCCGGACAATGCATCCATACATTCGTCAACGAGGGGAAGGGGAAATATATCTTTAGTCGCAACCGCGTTTAATTTCCGGTAATCTATACACCATCGGACCGTTCCATCTTTTTTACGGATTAAGACAGGAGGAGATGCCCAATTTGAGATTGACAGTTGACTGACTTTCGCATCTAACATTTTTTTTGTTAATGTCCCTCTTCCTCCTTTGTAAAACAAACGGGTGTACGTCTTATAGGCTGTTTAATTGGTTTAGCGTCATTCGTTTCGATGACGTATTCCATTACAGTAAAATTCCCCAGATCAAACTGATGCTTCGCAAAAACTTCCTGATATTCAATTAACAAATACTCAAGCCTTAATTGACCCCCTTCCGATAATAATGTCTTTGAACAATCAAACAAATTGACTAAATGCTCGGGTTTTTTGTCTGAATTTAATGAACCCGATTGATTAAGTTTTTACTGGATAGAAAGTTCAGCAACCGCAAACTTTACATTTAAACTTGTGAAAAGAAGTAGTGTTTAACGGCTGTTTTTCTGGTCCACAGTAGGACGTCAAACCCCATTTCATTACTGCAGTGGCTGTTACTAGTGGATTACCCACAGTTCCGTGAAAAACACGCCTAAAGCTTGCCGTAACAGACCGTTTCATTGGCTTATCCATGACACCATTCAGAACACGAGTTAAATAACAACTCTTCCAGATCCAAGTGTAGTGAAGACAAGTAAAACGAAATTTCGAACTATAAAAACGAAACGAAATAGGATCTGTGGTTTAACCAGATTGTACATAAATATACTATACTTATATTAATCCGTTATATATCAGTTAATATCTACATAAATATACTATACTTATATTAATCCGTTATATATCAGTTAATATCTACATAAATATACTATACTTATATTAATCCGTTATATATCAGTTAATATCTACATAAATATACTATACTTATATTAATCCGTTATATATCAGTTAATATCTACATAAATATACTATACTTATATTAACCCGTTATATATCAGTTATTACGTACATAAATACACTATACTTATATTAATCCGTTATATCTCAGTTATTATGTACATAAATATACTATACTTATATTAATCCGAGAAGGTCTTGGTTAAATTGTTAATTCCATTTTGAAAAATGGTGTCCTCCACGGGTATATCATAACTCCTGACAAAGCAAAAGGGAACAAGATACATAAAAAGATTTCAAAAACAGTAATTGATATAAAAATGCGTTCATTCCAACAACCCGTCTTCATTAGCCCAGCATAGGAGCAGAACAGTAGGACGTTAAACCCCATTTCATTTCATTTCATTCCAACAAAATTCAATATACTGCGATTGATAATTTTGAAGTTCTTTTTGTTGACACCGGGAATAAAGGATAAAGCAAATATACATTGATAGGATTAATACATTTGGGAATGTCCTTTGAAACGCGAACATTAACATTACGCCCACATAAAGAGAGAGAGAAATTTCAACAATTTCGGTTAAAGGATTCTTGAGTTATGGCCCCTGTTTCACTTTGTAGAAAAGGTCTTTGAATTTGTGATAACCAAAATCCAGGTGGTGTGGCGGGCCTAACTATACGGAAGAATATACACGCCCATATCCCCAAATAAGCCAGAACCAATTAGGTCTAAATATTAAGGCCACCTGCAGATTTCGTCACGGTCACAGATATAAACAAGGCTAACCACAATCTCATCAACTATCACAAGCCTTAATCCTAGTTACATTAAATTGATGTCAGTCATTATCTCATGTGATAAAACTGGTTGAACACGTTCCAAATATAATTTTAACAAGGATATCATTGCTACGATAGATGCGTTATGAAGATTTCAAAAAACGGAAGTGACTAACGCTAAAGAAAAACACGAGTTATCCTTATATATAAGTGACGGGTGATAACAGATGCACGGGCAAATTTTTGCTCACTAATAATTCCTTCGAAGACCAAAAGTGAGAGGATTTCTTTGAGAGGATATCTGATATTCAAAAAAGTAATTGAATGTCACTAGATAAGGAAACACGAGAAAAATAGAAATAGTCACGAAAAGTGTTAGTGCTTCTCATATTGCGCAGTTTTTTTTACGAAGCATAGTATTTAAAAGGGGTTTTGAAAAAAAATGAAAACTCACACGCATTTCGAGATAGTTTCCGCACGGTTGGATTATATGCTTAGTTATAGTTGTGCTTGGCGGGTCGGGGTGGGGTGGGGGCAATTGAATAATTGTTTTTCATATTACTATGTGTAACCAAAAAACACGTGCTCTGAAAAATCTACCTATAATGACGGACTGTGGGTCAGTGGTGGATTATACTGTCAAACATGGCAGAATTTATAAACAATATACAAACTGGGACTATATATCCGCACAACACCAAAGGTCGATCAAAATCACTCCACTACTACTAGCTGTTTCAAAAGACAGTGGAGGGGGGGGGGCGAATGGTTAGCACATGCGCACTGTATCATAATGTCGTTGAGTCAACTGGCGTGGTTTTGATTCCCCGGTTGTACGTGACAAGGAGTACGGTCGCCTGTCCAACCTCGTGGGTTTTTTCTCCGTGTCCCCCGGTTTCCTCCCACTGCTAAAGACCCCTACGTGCAAGCGAATTATTGAAATAAAATTGAATCATATTTTAGTCCCGAAATGACCTAGTTTGTGTCGAGTGAACGTTAAACCCATCTCTCTCTCTCTCTCTCTCCCTCTCTCTCTCTCTCTCTCTCTCTCTCTCTCTCTGTGTATGAACAGAACACATACAAGTAATTATGTGCTCCAACGTCATAAACGATGCAGTCCATTGACTTTTACAATTAATGTGACAAATAATGTAGTATATTTTGCTTGGTCAATGGCGTTGTGATTTCACACAGAAATGTAATGAAATGACATGAAATGGGGTTTAACGTCCTACTGTTCTGCTTCGAACAGAAGCAGGACGGGTATACAGGACGGGTATACGCCATTCAGTGTGTTATGAGGGAAATTGGCGGCGATACGAACTACTCTTTTATCGAATTTCAACTGCCAAGGGATCTTTTATGTGCATGGGAATTCAGTTTGTTGTTCCATACGAACGGCTATGACCATACGTTGTCGCTTGCCTGGTCCTCTGTCCTGCACCACTGATGTGGGGGAACCACACCGGAAAATCCGGATGAACTTTCTCGGCCAACGCAGTGGTCAAACACGGGACCTCCAGGTTAGCGAGCCACCGCTTAGATGGGGTCGAAAGATGGGGTACCTTCTCTTTCCCAATACCATTCAGATAACATGAAAAAAGATAAATGTTTAAAAAATATTAATTCATGGATTATGTTGTGGGGTCTGAATCCTTATAACCAATGGGTAACTATAGTTATCTCCCTTTATATTGAGCATGCACAGTATTCTATATAAATAAATTGGCCCAGCACAGTTCGTCCCCGCGATCCACCCCAAAATATATGGTATCAAATAAACCAGCATGACCCCGTGAATGTTTTAGACCATCGAATTTAGGCCCCGGGCGAATAACTCTTCATTGCCGCGTTCCACCCCACATACGTGATACCAAATTAATCGGCATGACCCGGTGAATGTTTTAGCCCATCGAATTTAGGCCCCGGGCGAATAACTCTTCATTGCCGCGTTCCACCCCACATACGTGATACCAAATTAATCGGCCCGACCCCGTGAATGTTTTAGCCCATCGAATTTTGGGCCCGGACGAACTTGGGTCCCGGATGAATTTGGGCCCCGGGTGAATATGGGCCCTCAGCGAATTGACCCCCTGGCGAATTTGGGCGCCGGGCTAATCCAGGTATCTTGCTAATTATAGACAGACAGAATAAGTTTAGTATGATGGATAGTGAGCTAGAGCCGTATCCACTGAGCCACCATGGCTTTCATGTTGTCGTCATTTTAACCCCATTTACTCAACATTACTCTCGAGACAATCGCAGAAAAACACCCCTTTCTCTTCCTCTCTATAGCCCGGTTGATGCTGATGTGCCATTAAACCATATTTCATTTCATTTCTCTTTATCAGAATCGGGGCAGAACAGTAGGACGTTAAACCCCATTTCATTTCTCTCTTTACCAATGGGGGTTAGCGCGTGTGCGTTGCATCATCAGGTATGTCATTGAGTCAACTGGCGTGGTTTCGATTAGGTGTACGTGGCAAGGAGTAGGGTCGCCTGTCCAACCTCGTGGGTTTTATTGAAATAAAATTTAACCATATGTTGGACCCGAAATGGCCAAGTTTGTGTCTAGTGACGTTGTATCATGAGGTCTGTCATTGAGTCAACTGACGAGGTGTCGATTTCCCGGTTGCACGTGACAAGGAGTGGGGTGGCCTATCCAGCCTCGTGCGTTTTCTCCTGGTCCATACGTTAGTCCCGAAAAATGACCTAACCCATCTCTCTCTCTCTCTCTCTCTCTCTCTCTCTCTCTCTCTCTGTCTCTCTCTCCAGAAAAACACGACAACATAATAATAATAACACTTTATTTAACAATCGGTGTTTGTCTTAAAATACGACATTAACAGAAGCTGGAATAAAATAATTTAAACACATTTCATTCATAAATATTCAAAAAATATTCACCAATAATAAAATAGATTTGAACATATTTTTATCTGTTATAAAATTTACGTGTCTTAACGTAATATCATTCATAACTTGCGAGTGCCACGGGGACGCGGTGAGTAAGACCTTGAGGTACCGTTTTCGATCCCTGCTTCGGCCGGGATTGTTCATCGGCCTGGTTCCCCCTTGCCAGTGGTGCAAAACAGAAGACCTGGCAAGGGATAACGTATATAGTCGTTCGGATGGTACGATAAACGGAGACCCTCGTGTACATATTGGCGTGCACATAAAACAAAAATCCCTTGGTATTTGGAATTGGATATAAGAGTTCTGTACCAACCCATCTTCAATAGAAGACCTGATCTCGCTTTCACTCAGTGCATATTTCGGCACTAATTTCGACTGGGTATTCACCCAGCTTATAAGCCTACCAGATTCCGGAATCATCGCAAATTTCCAGCTAAAATGTGTACCTGTGATAATCGAGTTGCAAAGTTGTGGAGGTCACGGTAGTTGAATTGCTTGCCTTAGTGTCACAACTTCTGATTGGACGCTATTGTTCACGTGTCTGCAGTAAAGAGAGAAAATGTAGCTATAAGTTCGGGAATTGCAAATTAAACATACATTATGCAAGAGCTAAGACTGCCTATTGCAGGTATTTCTTTAGGCCTGGAATGTTATATAAACTATTAATTAGACATTTATTAACAAAACAATATCATAATCAACTCTCGGTGGCATCGGATACTCGAGATTTAACTAGATTAAAAATGGGAAAGCGAGGCTAAGTCTCGAATATACCAGTGCCCTGGTTACCACTATGCACTTGTCTTGTCAAAACTGAGCCAGTGATAACGTGGCTCAGAATGAAATAATTTGAATGAAAGTTTCAATATTTTCATTTTACATTATCTATTTTTGAGCTATTATAGTAAGAATGGTCAGCTCTTTATCTAAATCTTACATAATGTATCTTTAAATAATCTAGCAGCGTCCAGATGTTGTAAAACTTGCTTCAGGAACATGGCACCATCCAGGATAATAAAGACGGATATACGTCATACAGTATGCTATAGGGGAAATTTTGCCCCGACTCACCCAAATAATAAGGCAAAATTTCACACAAATTATTTTAATGATAAGTTTATAGATTCCATGTATACGTTGGTGGACCTTGGCGCCTTCATCCCATCCAAACGATTGGGCAAAATTTGTTTGTCAGACCCAAAAACTCCAGGACTGACAAGTTTCACACATAGATGTACATAAAATTTCAAAAATATTTTTTTGAAATTTTACAGGATTCGGCGATTTTCTTAATGTGGAAGAAAGCCTTTAAATTGAAAAATATATTTATAAAATAATACAATATAAATAGTGTTACAGAATATTTTGTCGACTGTTTCGTCAACGTAAACAGACATGAATTTATCCGGGTGTTAATATAACACAATAGTATTTTTGCATATATTATAAACAATTGAATACAGTAGTGTTTACTGATCATAAGGTCTGTAACTGAGTCAAGTGGCATGGTCTCGATTTCCCTCGTGTGTGCGACAGGGAATAGTGTCGCCTGTCCAGCATCATGGGTTTTCTCCGGGCCCTCCGGTTTCCTCCCACAGCTAAGGACCTTATGCGCAAGCGAATTATTGAAATGAAATTGAACCATATATTAGTTCCGAAATGACCCACTCCTCTCCCTCCTTATAGTGTTTTCTGGAATGAATTTTATCATGGCCGATGATACCCTCAACCATTTTAGAACACATATACAATGACATCAAGGTATCGTCACAATTTTGCCAAAGACAAAGTTGTTCTCTGTATTAGCATGTCTGTTTCTAAAACGGTAATAAATTCATATAACGTGCTCACGGCGCATGTCCTTGTCTGACGTTATTTTTGTTATGATAATTCTATTTATAGTGTTTACATTCGTGTCGATGTCTGAGTGCACTATACAATTTTAAAATACAGATGTGACGTCATCCTTTGATGTAGGCGTACCATTATTTCAAATAATGGTACGGGCAATGTGCCAAGCGTACATTATTATACTAGTTGAAATATTGGACGCGCGTGATGTATTTTATTCAAATGCACGTGCTGGATAGTGTCTGTATTTTAAGTTGTTTAATGGTCTCGTGCAAGACATTGCGTATGATATCAATATATTACTTAATGTCTCGCACTCGACCATTAAACTACACATATTATTCTTAATAAAAAAAATACCATTTTACATCAAAATACAATATCGCACTCAACAACTTTAATAACAGGTGGTGTATTGATTTCACTTCCGGCATTTTAAATATGGACGCCAATACGTTATTGTTGATTGCTTTCTCATGTCTGTGTTTGCTACTATTAAAGACACGGTCCAATCTAATATTCACTTTTATTTTGCTGGTGTCGTGCGCGATGCATGGCATGCCTACCCCTCATCACGATATTGTTGATGTTTTCGCATGTCTGTGTCTGCTATACATTTGGGGGCAACCTTATGTTTTGTTTATTTTCATTCGATCATTCATTCAATTTGACAGTTGTCATGTGCGTGCCTAACCCTCACGAGAGCCCCTGTATCACTTCTCATTATGGGACTGTTCTGGTGTGACTAGCCCACATGCTGTTGTGACCGAACCTTATCAAAGAATTCATGTTTAAAGTATTTGACATATATATTTTACATTATACTAATAATGAACCTTTCGGAATTTTGGAGTTCCAGATCTCACATCTGTTACTGGCAGGAAGTGTGCCCGTCAACTGAATAGAAGAGAACACACTCGCGTCTGTATTTGAATTTTAATAAAATCAGGTCACATATCGGAATCAATAACAGATTATCCACTTCCACTTGATATGTTGATCACTCCTAAAATTCAAACATTAACCACGCACTAAATTAAAGAGTCTTAGTCGCCTACAGTTATCACGCACTAACCTAAAGTCTCTTAGTCACCTACAGTTACCACCCACTAGCTACCCTAGATAATCGCAATCATGACCATTTACTACACACTACCCTATATAACCCCAATCACGTTCATTTACCACAACTAATCAGAGAACCTAGAATCCTATGTTCAGTTACCACGCACTAACCTTGTTAACCTCAATCAGGTTTTTTTTTTACCACGAACTAATCAGAGAATCACATGTTCAGTTAGTACGCACTAACCTAGATAACCACAATCACGTTCATTTACCACGCACTAACCTAGAGATTCTAAACCACGTTCATTTACCACGCACTAATCAGGGAATCTCGTGTTCAGTTAGTACACACTAACTTTGATAATCCCAATCACGTTCATTTACCACGAACTAACCTAGAGATTCTAAACCACACTCTTTTACCACGCACTAACTAATCGCAATCCATGTTCATTTATAAACAATATTTCGAACGATTTGTCTACTAATATCAATTATTTTACAATTTTGTACCGATTCCAAAATTCGGACATTCACATTATAGCAGAGAGACTCATTCATAAAAAACTATCAATGCCATATTTGGTCAACACGTTGAGAATCGTCTGCTGTGTATATTCATTCTAGTAACACCTAAATGTTTCAATGGATTATCACTGAGTCCATAGGCTGGAAGATCGAGAACATCGGGTAGATCTTCCAGTTCTTCTAATTCACACTGTACTTCTTCCAACATGTCCTGATGTTCTTCACAGCTCTTAGTTAGTTTGACCTGCTGTATGTCGTGTTTTAATGTGAGAAATTGCCGGGCCAGTTCTTGATCCTGTACTCGCATATCATGCTGAAACAAAGTAACAAGGCAATATCATATGCTGAAACAAAGTACCATGGCAATCATATTATGGCTGAAAGAAAGTAACAAGACAATCATACCATGCTGAAACATAGAAACAAGGCAATCATATCATACTGAAACAAAGTAACAAGGCGATCATATCATACTGAAACAAAGTAACAAGGCGATCATATCATACTGAAACAAAGTAACAAGGCAATCATATCATACTGAAACAAAGTAACAAGACAATCATATCATGCTGAAACAAAGTAATAAGGCAATCATATCATACTGAAACAAAGTAACAAGGCAATCATACCATGCTGAAACAAAGTAACAAGGCAATCATATCATACTGAAACAAAGTAACAAGGCAATCATATCATACTGAAACACAGTAACAAGGCAATCATATCATGCTGAAACAAAGTAATAAGGCAATCATATCCTGCTGAAACAAAGTAACAAGTACAAACCGGGCCAACAAGGACGGGTATACGCCAAGCAGTGTCCCGCGAGGTGCATTTTGCCCAGACAGTGACGTGTCAGGCCACACTTCGTCGAATTCCACCTGCCAAGTGGTTTTGGAACCACGGTTTTTCATACAGCTAGACGATGTTCCTTATCATGGCCTCTGTCCTGCACCACTGAACAATGGGAAACGACACTAGACAATGACGAGGAGCATTCTCCGGTTTCACCAGAATCGAACCGGATATTCTGGGTTAGCAAGCCACCATGGCCCGAGATATCGCCGCTAATCTGTTTGTATTCAAGGTATATACTGATCATAATAATGACGTGTAATAAAACAACTTTTGTTCCCAGTACTGTAGAAACTTACCAATTCTTTCCTAAGCCATTCGAGTGCGTCATCTATTCTCTGTTTACGTTCATCTGTAAGTTTATTGTCATGCCCATCCATGGATAGCTTCGGTTTATCGGCCCGCATTAACCGAGGTGAACGATCTATATTCTCTGACTTCCAGACGGTATAACTCTGTCTTCTGGTACTCAGGTTCAATCTTGTTGTTACCTGAATGGTACATTTATTAATTTATTAATTATACGGTAAAACACGGTATGGATTTTGGTTTATCAAAATCAAGTAGCAAATTGCGTTAACCATATAGGATAGGAGGATGGGAATTAAAGGGCCAATCCCGATAACTTTTTGGAGAATAAAACTGCTTAATTTTGTGTTAAAATGCCTTAAAACCCTCTACCTACGGGGCGAGCAAGTAACCCAATATTTGTGATACGTTTGCAAACAACTTAAATCAGTCAGTCTTCTTCTGGTAATGGAGACCGGTGTCTCAAACTATATTATACGGTGTCTGGATAAACCAGAATTTTTTTATAAAAATAATGTTTAGGTGAAATTTACCGTCCGTTATCAAGTACAGCACATGGGTCATTCACTGTATAGACCTCTCAAGAAACGGGAATCGATTATCAGGTCACCCAACGAAAAAATTGACCCGAAATCTTAAAAGGGTTACGTGTCCGGATAAGCAGTTTTGGGCTGAAATTTTGAGACAAGGTCAATACACAATTCCTATATATTTTGGTGCTTAAATTCCATACGCACTCAGACTTTAATTTTTGAGACTCTGTTCTAATCGGCATAGTCCCTTTATGGTTTAAGCCCAGTCAACACACTGCATTGGTCATTGTAAGAGTAACACGTCATGTGCAATACGAGCGTGGGCGGAGGGGTGCCCCCCTACAGTGGTGTTTCCCCTTCTCTTATGTTTCAGGTTACGAACTTCCTGATCTTTCAGTGGATGAAAGGGGGAGGGGGGTGCATACGGGTACGTCCTACATTTCGGGCTAATCAAGCCTATCAGTGGCGCTATGGTCTACTCTTATTTCGAATTCCAACTGTCAAGGGTACTTTTATGCCAGTGACGTCAGTCTGTACACTCGATCTCAGTTTTTCTCCCATCCGAACGACTAGACTTGAAAGGCCACTCGTCATACGAAGGGGGGGGGGGGGGGCACGCCGGAAAATCCCGAGAAACCTTCTCTGCCAACACCTGGATCGAAATCCGGAAATCTTGGTTATGCTAGGTTCTCACTATCACAATTCGTGCTACGATTGAAACCGTAACTTCTGTCCTGGAGTAATCGTGAGTTACGCCACTTCCCTCTAGCGAGTTATTCCAAAAGTAAACCGGAAGCATAAAAGTGATTATATATTTTGCCAAGATGCTGCTGAAGTTGACTGCTCGAAAAATCTGCTATCTTGAATTTTCCTGGGAAAACAAGGAGCACATGACCTGCACAGTCACATGACTAAATGCTACTCTCTGATCGACTAAACAACAGTAAGACAATTGATCGTGTCGTGTGAGTGTCCACACAAACACGATGGGTTACGACTGCATCCAACTACGATTGAACATGCTCAGTCGGACCGACGGGCCACGACGCGACGGAAATCGATTGAATCGTGGTCGTGGGACTGTCCACACTAAACTGATTATCTGAGACAAGACGTTGCGTTGGGTAGAGTCTGGGCAAGTCGTGGCGGTGTGGGCCGGACATTATCATATATTGGGGTCAGTCGCAGCAATCCTGATGACCGTATCGACACGTATCCGAACTTATCTGCACGTAGCAGATCGTGGAATCAATCGAGACAATCCTATCGTTACGCATGGCTCGACAGTGGGGCCCTGGCATCAGTGACCAAGCGTATAAATCGCTTGATCCACCGTTGCCCATTAATCTCTTTAAGATATCATACCTGTTTTAAAAGTTGTAAATCAGATTCGTTTAAAATATCATCGTCGTCATCCTCTTGATCTCCGTTGACTTTAACGTTATTATTTTTCTCCACAAACTGAGTTGGTGCTTCCGTTATTTCTATCCTCGGAATTGTATTTTGTATATTTCGAGGTTTTTTAAATGTTTCTTGTTTATCAAACCTTGGGGCTTTTATAATATGATTCTTCTTCTGGTCATCATCGCTACTATCACTCTCAACAATGATAGACAATGGACGACGTTGATCTTTGATTGGAGGGGTGTCTTCTTTCTTACCACCCATCATAAATATAGGTAATTCAAACCAACCCAATCCATGCTCTACTATGTCTGTTTCCTGATAGATTTTCTTCAAAACAAAAGTTTATAGAATCTGAAATACAAAATTAAACGTTTATAAAATCTGAAATACAAAAACAAACGTTTATAAAATCTAGATTACAAAATACAAAAACAAAGAAAGAGAGAGAGAGAGAGGGAGAGAGAGAGGGTGAGAGAGAGAGAGGTGTTTAAGGTCATTTCGGGACTAACACATGGTTCAATTTTGAGTAAACTGGCGTGGTTTCGATTGCCCGGTTGTACGTGACAAGGAGTAGGGCCGCCTGTCCAACCTCATGGGTTTTCTCCGGCCCCCTACGCGCAAGCGAATTATTGAAATAAAATTGAACCATATGTTAGTGCCGAAATGACCTAGTTTAAGTCGAGTGAACGTTAAACCCCATCTCTCTCACTCATTCTCTCTCTCTCTCTCTCTCTCTCTCTCTCTCTCTCTCTCTGTGAATATGTCGCATGCACCCTTACCAAGGTGTCCCGGGTTATTCCAATTGAGCTGAGCACGTTCCCATTATCCGTGAGCCAACTCGCGTAACTCACAAATCCACCGTGGATCTCTCCGAAAAGTCGAACTTTAACCACCAAATTGATCACGCAGCTGCACCCAACCTACGTATCATGTCCAAACTGATCTAATAGTCAAACAAGCGAGATATACAAACTCTTCAAATGGGTAGCTGTATCAATAATCCAGAAAACAGAAAGTACACCCTGTACGATATTTAACACCTAATATCACCCTTCAATCAATAAAGAACGTTACACCGCCGTTACTCGTATTAAAATTCACTCACCACGCAGATCGGAAGCTACATCAACCCGTTCTCCTTTAGCCAGGTCGACTTAAGCTTGACAAACGTATAATTCACTTACCACCCACAGAGGTTTGTTAGTTTTATATTGAGCCCACAGAAATTTGATAACAAGCCTATTTTCTCCTGACAATTTCCTCTCTTCAATATAATATAGGTGTAATTTGATTTATCAAAAGGATGTTCAAAACAATATCGTCTTGTGATTGTCATTTATCGTAATGTGGTTTATTTCTGTACAACTGTCAAGGCTGTAATGTTTGAAGTTCATTTTTAGTATGTTAATTAGATGTATTTTTATATTTGTTGAAAAGATCAAAGTAAAATGACATATTTTATTGTTCGTTCGGTTTCTTTTTTTATATTTTTGATTTTTTGACGAAAAAATGAAAGAGTTTTATTTACATGTAATTTGTTACATTCATACTTTGTACATGGATATTTTAAATGGAGTAGCAACGAGTGGGGGTTTAACGGCCCTTTAACATAAATGAAATAAAATGTTTAACGTCCTACTGTTCTGCTCCGACCAAGCCAATGAAGACAGGCATACGCCATACAGTGTACTATGAAGGAAATTTTGACGGGATCTTTTACCTTCATGCCAGTGGGTACATGGGATCTCGGTTTTTCGTATCATCCGAACGAACGACTATACGCTGTCTCTTTCCAGGCCCTCTGTCCTTCACTACTGACAAGGTGAATCACGCCGGAAAATCCCGATGAACTATCTCTGCCAACGTAGGGATCGCACACGCGACCTGCGGGTAAGCGAGCTAACGTCTTATCCGCCGAACCACGGTGCCCTCTCCTCCGTTTATATAAATGAAATGAAATGAAATGGAGTTTAACGTCCTACTGTTCTGCTCCTAACCTGGGCTAATGAAGACGGGCATACGCCATACAATGTGCTATGAGGGAAATTTTGCCCGGACAGCGGCACTACGGCCTACTCTTATATCGAATTCCAACCGCCAAGGGATCTTTTACGTGCACGCCAATGTGTACACGGGACCTCGGTTTTTCGTCCCATCCGAACGACTAGACAGCTTTCCTTGTCAGCCCCTCCGTCCTGCATCACTGACAAAGGAGAACCACGCCGGAAAATCTGGATGAACTTTCTCGGCCAATGCAGGGATCGAACACCCGACCTCCAGGCTAGCGAGCTAGCGTCTTACCCACTTAGCCACGTGATCCCCCCGTTAATATAAACTATGACATGATTTTGGTCATATTGAGACTAACATATGTCTATTCCTATTTTATTAGTTACGCGGGCAATGCGAAGGGGCGAATTTGCCCCTGCAGCGGCGTTCTGCCTTCTAAACGTAGAATTCGAAATGTTACGGGTTGTTTTATTGTGTGCGTCAATGTGTATGTGGCTGGACCTCGGTTGTTCTTCACATTCAAAATATTACCCACACTTTCCTTATACAGGTCACAATTCGATGGATAACAATTACTGCTTATACCTGAGTGACGTTTCGACTAGGCCTCTAAAGTCATCATCAGGCAATGATATGGTGCATGACGGAGGGCCTAGTCGTTCGGATGGGAAGAAAAACCGAGGGCCAGTGTACACATTGGTAAAATATCCCTTGGCAGTTAAAATTCGATATAAGAGTAGTCCGTAGCGCTTATGTCCGGGCAAAATTTCCCTCATATCACACTGTATGGCGTATGCCCGTCTTCATTAGCCCAATCAGAGCAGAACAGTAGGACGTTAAACCCCATTTCATTTCATATTTTCTTGTTAAGGATGAACTTATATTAGATGATGTTTTCAGTAAGTGTCATGACATGTTATTATGACGTTGTGACATGACACCTATCAATATAGATTAATGTAACACTATCTACATAAATGAAATGGGGTTTAACGTCCTACTGTTCTGCTCCTAACCTGGGCTAATGAAGACGGGCATACGCCATACAGTGTGCTATGAGGGAAATTTTGCCCGGGCAGCGGCACTATCGCCTACTCTTATATCGAATTCCAACTGCCAAGGGATCTTTTACGTGCATTCCAATGTATACACGGGACCTCGGTTTTTCGTCTCATCCGAAGGACTAGACAGCTGTCCTTGTCAGGTCCTCCGTCCTGCATCACTGACAAGGGGGAACCACGCCGGAAAATCTGGATGAACTTTCTCGGCCAATGCAGAGATCGAACACCCGACCTCCAGGCTAGCGAGCCAGCGCCTTACCCACTTAGCCACGTGGTCCCCCATAAGCGTAGGATTAATAACAATGTTTCTCTTCAAACCCCAGTCCATTTCATTACATCATTTTCAAGTAGCCTGGTGGGGGGGGATGGCCGAATGGTTAGCACGTGCGCGCTGTATCATAAGGTCTGTCATTGAGTCAACTAGCGTGGTTTCGATTCCTCTTTTACGTGACAAGGAGTAGGGTCGCCTGTCCAACCTCGTGGGTTTTCTCCGGTTCTTCCGGTTTCCTCCAACTACTAGACCCCTACGCGCAAGCGCATTATTGAAATAATATTAAACCATATGTTAGTTCCGAAATAACCTACTTTGTGTCGAGTGGACGTTAAACCCCATTCCTCTCTCTCTCTCTCTCTCTCTCTCTCTCTCTCTCTCCAAGTAGGTTACCATTTGAGCTGGAGTGATCTCGACTACCCCCGTGGTTATATGAATGTAGGTGACTCCTGTCACAACTGTTAATTACATAAAGTACTTTATAATTTAATATACATTGTGGCGTATATAAACATTAGTGTCACGGGTATTTAATGACACTGTGGTAGCTGGTGGTATTTATCAACATTATTATATAATATCATATCACTGACAGTCTCATTTACCAGGCGGTTTCACGGTGACTAAGTGGGTAAGACGCTGGCTCGCTAGCCTGGAAGTCGGTTGTTCGATCACTGCATTAGCCGAGAAAGTTCATCCAGATTTTCCGGGGTGGTTCCCCCCCCCCTCCCTTGTCAGTGATGCAGGAAGGAGGGCCTGACAAGGACAGCTGTCTAGTCGTGCGGATGGTACGAAAAAGCGAGGTTCCGTGTACACATTGGCGTGCACGTAAAAGATCCTTTGACAGTTGGAATTCGATATAAGAGTAGGCCGTAGCGCCGCTGCCCTTGCAAAATTTCCCTCATAGCACACTGTATGGCGTATGCCCGTCTTCATTAGGCCAGTTTAGGAGCAAAACAGTAGGACGTTAAATCCCATTTCATTTCATTTCTGTCTGTCACTGAGTCAAGTGGCGTGGTTTCTGGTGGTATTTCTCAACCTTATCTCCGATAGTCTCATTAACAGTTTAAATCGCTGATCGTTTTACCATTATGAGGAGAGTTTGGTGTTCGAGTGGTTTAACGCGCAAGCTTTAGAACATAAGGTCCGTCAGTCCTCCGGTGTTCGAGTGATGTGACGCGCACGCAAGGTAGCTTTGCCCAACCTCGTGGGTTTTCTCCGAGTCCTTCTACCCCCCCCCCTCCCACTACCAAAGACCCATACGCATAAGCCGATTATACTGTATTTACAACACGGTTGGAAATAGTTGAAATTTCGCATATACAACATGTTTGGAGTGCCGTATTATCTGTGTCACTAATGATGTTAAACGCTAGAGAAACATTTCAACTGCGTGAAACACTCAACCTTTTAGAAAATCTCACAAACCGCTGAACTTAACTTAAATACATGTAAACTTCAATACGCAAAATTTGAAGCAAATGCTAACCTTAACTAGTCACAACTATTATAATTCATCTATGAACCAAATTGCGTTTTTATTAAATGCACTTTTAAATTATGTAAAGTCTTCATCTCTATATTTTACCCATCTTTATTTACCAGGTTGGTTCAGAAATATAGGACGTTTAACCCCATTTCATTTATATAATTTAACCTTTATTTTGGCATACCGGCGCTTTAAATGTCCTTTTTTGGCACACTGAGGCTTTAAATGCCCTTTTTTGGCATACTGGGGGCTTTAATTGTTCCTTATTTTGGCATACTGGGGGTTAAAATATTCTTTATTGAGGCTTACCAGGGCTTTAAATTCCCTTTATTTTGGCATACTGGCGCTTTAAATGTATATTCAATTCTACTTCATTTCAAAAACGAGGGCCCACGGTGCGAGGAAGACGCAGGCTCACTAACAACTATCCGAGCTCGATCCCGGTGCTGGCCAAGAAAAGTCCCATGGTAATTTCCAGACTGGTTACTTGATGCCACTGCTTTAGAACAGATGCCTGGTT